GTCGGACCTCTCTATCGCGCGCACGCATCCCACAGACTCTAGCGACGAACAACAGGCACAAAAAAATACAGGGACAAAAAAAAATTCCATTCTCGGTGTCAACTGAAGATTAATGAAAAAAACTGATAGATATCATAGAGGAGACTCTTTGGAAGATTTCCAGACCCATAATCGATGGATCTACCCCATAGACACCGAGTAACAGCCCTATAAAAGGGGGTTTTTTAATTAAATTAACTGAATATTGATTTAAAAAAATTCAATCCTCGGTGTCCACCTGAGATTGAGGAAGGAAACTCTTGGGAATCTTGTAGGACACTATGCAGAAGATTCCCAAACTCATAATTGAAAGATTAACCCCATGGACACCGAGTAACAGCCCCATAAAAGGGAGTTTTTTAATTAAATTGACGGAATTTCGACTTTAGAAAATTCAATCCTCGGTGTCCATCGGAGATTAAGGAAGAAAACTCATAGGCATCTTCCAGGACACTATACAAAAGATTCCCAAACCCATAATCGATAGATTAACCGAATAGACACCGAGTAACAGCCTTATAAAAAGGGGGTTTTTAATTAAATTGACGGAATTTCGACTTTGGCAAATTCAATCCTCGGTGTCCATCGGAGATTAAGGAAGAAAACTCATGGGAACCTTCCAGGTCACTATACAAAAGATTCCCAAAAAACCATCTTACCCCAGCGCAAAAAACAACAAGTAGCGATCGGACCTCTCTGTCGCGCGCACGCATCCCACAGACTCTAGTGACGAACGACAGGCACAGAAAAATACAGGGACGAAAAAAAAATTCCATTCTCGGTGTCAACTGAAGATTAATAAAAAAAAACTCATAGATATCATAAAGGAGACTATTTGGAAGATTTGCAGACCCATAATCGATGGATCCACCCCATAGACACCGAGTAACAGCCCTATAAAAGGGAGTTTTTTAATTAAAGTAACTGAATTTTGACTTTAGAAAATTCAATCCTCGGTGTCCATCGGAGATTAAGGAAGAAAACTCATGAGAATCTTCCAGGACACTATACAGAAGATTCCCAGACCCATAACCGATAGATTTACCCATGGACACCGAGTAACAGCCCCATAAAAGGCGTTCTTTGACTTATTTGTCGAGAATTTGAGTTATAAAAAATTCAATCCTCGGTGTCCACCTGAGATTAAAGACGGTAACTCATGTGAATCTTCTAGGATACTACGCAGAAGATTCCCAAACGCATAATTAAAAGATTAACCCCATGGACACCGAGTTACAGCCCCATAAAAGGGAGTTTTTTGATTAAATTGGCGGAATTTCGACTTTAGAAAATTCAATCCTCGGTGTCCACCTAAGATTAAGAAAGGAAACTCATGGGAACCTTCCAAGACACTATGCAGAAGTTTCCCAGAACCATAATCGATAGATTAACCGTATGGACACCGAGTAACAGCCCCATAAAAGGCGTTCTTTGACTTAGTCGTCGAGAATTTGAGTTACAAAAAATTCAATCCTCGGTGTCCACCTGAAATTAAGGAAGGAAACTCATGGAAATCTTCTAGGACACTATGCAGGAGATTCGCAAATGCATAATTAAAAGATTAACCCCATGGACACCGAGTAACAGCCCCATAAACGGGAGTTTTTTAATTGATCATAAATCGAGATCTTGATAGAAATTTCTCAAACATAAAAAACATTTGAGAGTGCATCACAATAATTTTAGACAAACGCAATTTTTTTTATCTTTGCAACTCGATACTCCTGGAAGTGTGTATCTAACATGTGTTGTCAATAAATTCTATTTACTCTACATCTAAAACATGAAAAACATCTTGCAACGCATAACAATAATTTTTAACAAACATAATTTTCTTATCGCTGCAACTCAATACTCCTGGAAGTATGTATCCGAAATATCAATAAGTTCTATTTACTCCACACAGATACTCATTAATTGTCACATCTAAAAGTTTTGAGTGTATTTTTGCTCTATATAAATAAGTATAAGTGGACTAACCATCAAACTGAATCAGTTCATCAACGTGACCACGTGCATGCAAGTGAAAAAATTTCTGTCAAATTTCTGAGTGAATCCTAGTTCTTATTTTTTTGTGAAAAGTTGTTTTTTTTCACCTGACGAATCTAGGTGAGAAGAATTTTTTATTTTAAATTGATCACTTGAAAAAAACTTATGTTTTTAAATTTTTTGAATAGTTGTTAAAAAAAAATTTTTTTTTCATCGAGTACTGTATAATTTTTTTACTGATGAATTTTTCGATTTTTAAAGGAAAACTAACCATGGCCCTTCCAAATTTGAATGTGGACTTAATCATATCACCAGTTGAGTGGGAAATCGAATTGTCAAATTTTGCTTTAATGGATGTTATGAAATTAGCTTTACAGCGTCAATTTATTTTGATTGGTAACTTGAATGGAGCTAAAATAATCATTGCCAACGTCAGTGCAGAATCTGTGATGATTTTGGAAAAGACAGTTTGGTTCAAAGTTGATCGTGACTCATCAACTTTTCATTACATCATCAGTCGTGAAGAAATGTTTTCATCAGGATTCCAGGAACAGTTGGTGCAGCAACACCAACAATGTCAGCAACAACAGCAACAGCAGAAGAAACCACAACCAATCGAGGTTATTTACCTCAGTGATGATGATTAGTTAAGGGGGTATTCTGGTCTAGAAATTTAAAAAATTCGAATTATTTTTTTTCGCATATTTGCAAAGTTTAGACCCTTAAAAATATGTCCTTGAGTGGATTTTTAAAAATCCAAATTATTTTCGGAGATACCGTGGATTTTGTGACGCAGCTGCTTCTGCTTCTGCTTCTTCAATAGAAGGCAGAACAGCTCGATTAGCAGAAAGAACTTCGCAAAACATCGAGTAGGAAGTAGAAGAAGGCTCAATTTACGGATCTGGGATTCGCGATTAATCCAAAGTGAATATTAAATATTATTATGAGTTATTTTACTGAAATCGTTTCTAAAACTTTAAACGCGATTTTCTCGAAACTACTTTTTTTAAAGTGGTTGACATGATATATTAAGTTCTACCGCACCGATTCCTTTGAAATTAAGTGGGAATTTGCTTTATATATCTCTCTATCGCGTCTGCTACGGATTTCAAAAAATTTCAATTTGGAGTATTTTTAAAAAATTCGAAAAGGTCATAAAAAAAGGTAAAAAAAAA